TGTGTGTGTGTGTGTGTGTGTGAGATACATACAGTATATGATTTAACCAGGTAGATCACCCTTAAATTTAGATTTTTATGGGAGACTTTAAAGTGTCCCTTAAAAAAGGAGATTTTAAGGTCTAATTTTTTTACCTATACATATTTATTCCACTCAATTAATGTGTGATTAATTTATTTTCTATTATAAGTTTTATATTGTGATATATATCGTTACTGCCACTCATCATAATGTATATCGTGATATGAATTGTTTTGCCATATGGCACAGTCCTAGATGGTAGGTGTGTGACTGTGGTTTCACACCTGACTGACAAGCTGTCAGCGTGCTCACCTGTGTTCTGGTCGAAGGTGTAGCCTCCGTGTCGCAGCGTGATGCCACACTGACAGCAGGTGAAGCAGCTCCGGTGGAAGAACTTCCCTTCAGCACTGACGCGCTCCACCACGTACACCATCTGCCCACAGAAGTAGCACCGCTCGCTGTTCGGCACCGGCACCGGCTCGTCTGGTTCAGGCTCTGGAGCGGGGGCGGGGCTGAGCTCAGGAGGAACAGGAGGTACCAGAGGCTGAGAGGAGAGGGTGGAGTCAGACTAACACAGTCACAAACTGACATGTCAAAGGACAGGTGATGGAGGAGGGCCCAGTGCCAACTGTGAAATAAGGAGGCAAACTCTCAGCCCAGTTAGTGACCAGTCAACCATGGAGCTCCTTTTGAAAATCAGCCTCATTTTTGTGGTTTAAAACAATAATCCAGGTTGGGCACAATATTATGACCCCTGAACACAAAACATTTTGCTATTGTTTATTTATTTTTTCAGTGATTTTTGGCCATCGACATTAAATTAGTCAGGATGTAGACGTGTTCAACCTCCAGCCAACAGTTTGACCATAGAGCCCATATTGGAGGAGGGGGCTCCATCTAAAGAGGTGGTGTCTGGACATACAAAAATGCTCTTAACTCCAATAGGGCTGCCAAAAATGATGATTTTTATAGTCGAATAATCGGTGATTAGTCGACTATAAAATAATACAAAGTTAGAAAAAAACGACACATCGATGGTAACAGCCCTAAACTCAAACTATTCAACATAGGAGCTTCAGATTTTTGTTGTTGTTTAGTTCTGATGAAGAGCTATCCATCAGGCCCACCAATGAGCCCCACACCAACCCCTGGACCCCCACCAGTTCTGGTGCATTGGTGCTTTCCGTACATACAGGGGTTGTAGAAGCTACTGCTATCTAGTTATCAAGCTGTGCTGCAGCTTCTGAGATATTCTGCTTTAATCTTATCGTTATCATTCAGACATTTTGTTTGAGCTCAGAGATTTCTCCAGGTTTTTCAAATCTGTTGATATTATGATCTGTAGATGATGCAATATTAAACTTTTCTTCTATCTATCTATCTATCTATCTATCTATCTATCTATCTATCTATCTATCTATCTATCTATCTATCTATCT